CCTGCATATGCGCCCGCGAGCAGAAAACCCAACCTCTCTACAGGCCAGAGGTGGAAATTTCAGGTCCAGAAAGTATAAATCCAGACCATGATTTTGTTTCAACCAACCAGATGAGTACTCTGTGACAGTGTCTCTTCATACGCAATTGATTGATTGAAACAAAATCCTGGTCTGGATTTTTACTTTCTGGACCTGAAATTTCCACCTCTGCTACAGGCTGACACTGGCTGGGCCCTCTCTACATGCATGTATCTGCACAACACACGCTTGCAATTATTGTATTCAGTTTGTAATTTCGTTTTCCTTAGAAAAAAAATAACAGTTCATTAATGTTCTGACCTTCGTTTTAGCCTTATTTTTTGTTAAGCACCGTTTAGGCAGCGGCGCTGTTTTAAAAGTATTGTTTTAGCAGTGGCATCAGGAAAAAACCCAAATGATACCCAACCCTACCCATAAATTGAGAAATGAGTGAACCTGAAAATTTTGCATGATCTCTCTATTTGTTCCGGAGCTGTAAATACCCAGATAAACAGCTTTAAACATTGTCTTTGACTGCCTAAGACTTTTGCACAGTACTGTATGTATGCTTTGATTGTACCCATAGTTGTTATATATTTATGTAATACTCAAAAGGAACACTTTCCTAATTTGTTCAACTCTATTTCCAGTGCAAACTCAACAACCAGATAATAGTGCCACCTTACAATGGTCAGGGTATGAGATTTGAGACAACTGGTTACAAGGTTTTACTGTATATTGACAAAATTCGCTCCAGCGTCTCCATCTCAGTAAACAGTGACCTAACTGTTACCTTGGCAATGGAAAACTTTCAGCATAATACTGAAGGACAGTGTGGTGCGTATTTCATTTCTGTAGTATTGTTATGTATGTGTATAACTCTTTGATTGCGTTGTATAAGTGTGTGTGTGATGGTGAATCTGCTCCAGCACCTTCTTATACATCACAGCTTTCAGTCTGTACTGTCCAGGCATGTACCAAATATCGGCTCTGGACTGAGGCGTCCGATGGCCCCACAACAGGGGCGTGGCTAGATGTTTTACTGTAGGGGGGTGGGGGTCATAGATTACCAACTGAGGGGTGGGGGGTCGGGCATTTTGTTGAGGGGGATCCTCCTCAGTTAATTTTGCCGACCGATTTAATCCCTTAATGGACAGTGATTCCCCCCTGGGAAATTCCACGATACGCCAGATGGCCAGTCCAGCCTTGCCTGAGCCTCATTAACTGTGTCGTGCAGGTGTTTGTGCTGGAGCGTCTTGTGTGCGCAGGGATGGCACGGTCGAGGACGACACGTGCTGTGGACTGACATCTTTATCGTGGGTGTATGAGGATCCAGCAAAGCCTTACTGTAAACCCAAAGACCTTCCCTGTACACTTCCTACTCCTAACCCTACTCATAGTCCTTCCCCCTGTTCACCTGACCCTGTGGGTGCAAAGCTCTGTGATATCATTGATGGCAGGTAAGCTTCACTTGCTCTTAAAGCTTGTTATCTGTTTATACTACGATCGATTTGTATTGTACTTAATAAATAAATAAAGACAATAAGGCAATAAGGAGACTTACATAGCAAATATTAAGTAATAAAAATATTTGTAGTTCTTTTGATATTATGGCATAAAAACATTTTACTTGCACACAGGATAATAGAAATAGCTAAACTTAATTTTACGGATTTGAACCAGATTTGGTAGCTTGGTCTGCAGAGGCTCCTGCCTTCAACTAACATCTGATCTATGCTGCACTTCACCCCTACAGTCCTCCCTGCAGGTGGTGAGCCCACTGGAGGGCAGAGAAATGTAACTCTTTCAGGTTCTGCCCAGCTGGGCCCCATGGGTCGAGACTTGGCCACCAGGCGTTCGCCTATGAGCTCCTTCCCCCCCAGGCTTGATTGCAGGGCAGAGCCCTGCTCTCCCCAATCTGGGTGGGGTCACATGGTCCATTTTGTTATAGGGGGTAACATGAACCACACTTTGTTTGGCCGCTCACCTAGGACCAATCTTCCTTAGGAGACCGAACCAGGGGCAACTGCCCCCAACATCATAGCTCCCTGGATCACTGAGGCATACAAACCCCTCCCCCACAATAAGGTGGCGATTCATAGAGGGCAGACTGGGATGGTGGTCCCGATCTTTAATAAAGGGGACCGGAGGATATGTTCCAAGTTCAGGGGGAGCACATTCCTCAGCCTCCCTGCGAAGGTCTATGTCCAGGTACTGGAGAGGAGGATCTGTCTGTTGGTTGAACCTTGGATCCAGGAGGAATAATGTGGATTCCATCCTGATCACAGGACACTGGACCAGTGCTTCACTCTCACAAGGATACTGGAGGGTTTATGGGAGTTTGCCCAACCAGTCTACGTGTGTTTTATGGACTTGGAAAAGGCATACAGTCGACTCCCTCGGGGGGGGGGGGGCGCTTCAGAAGTATGGGGTCCTTTGGTGCAGGCCATAAGGTCCCTGTGAAAGTTTGGTTCGCATTGCCAGCAGTAAGTCAGACTTACAGGAGGGGGTGCTCTGCAGTGACCTCAGGGTTACATCTTTGCTTTTTGCAGATGATCCTTTTGGCTTCATTAGGCTGTGACTTGCAGCATGTACTGGGGCGGTTTGTAGCTTAGTGTGGGGGGGCCAGGGTGAGGTTCAACACCTCCAAGTCTGAAGCCATGGTTCTTGATTGGAGAATGGTAGATTGCTCTGTCCTGGTGGAGATGTATGTCGGGGTCTTGCTCAGAAGTAAGACGGGCATGCGAGACTGACAGGCGGATCGGTGCAGCATCAGCAGTTACACGGATGCTGTACCATTCAGTCGTAGTAAAGCTAGAGTGGAGCTGAAAGTCAAAGCTATCAATTTTCCAGACAGTAGAGCTCCTTTTCTGCTACATTGAAAGGAGCCACGTGAGGTGGTTCCGGCATCTATCTAGGATGCCTCCTGGATGCCTCTCTGGGGAGATGTTTCAGGCAGATTGAACTGGGAGGGGACCCTGGGGCAGACCCAGGACATGCTGGAGAGATTATGTCTCTTGGCCGGTTTGTGAACGCCTTGATATTCCCTTGGTGGAGCTGGGGGAGGTGGCTGGGGACAAGCATCTTAATCCTAGTTAAGAGGTGGCTGGGGACAAGGAGGTCTGGGCATCCCTGCTTAGACTGCTGCCCCTGCAACCTGGCTCCGGAAAAGTGGCAGAAAATGGATGGATGGATTATTTTATGGATTAACTATTACATATGTTGTAAAATAAATTTTCCAGAACCTTTTACCCAAAGTGACATACGACCAAGAAAGCAGGGCCAGCCAGTCTCTGGAGCAAGTGAGAGTTAGGAGCTTTGCTCATGTGCCCAATGGTAGCAGCACCCAGGATCTGAACCAACAACCTTCTGATCACAGGTGTCGTAATCTGCAGAGCCAAACCTTCTGTGCCGTGTATGACATCACCTTCTGTCATTGTTTCAGTGCCTTTGCGGAGTGCAGAAAAATGGTGGACCTGTCGCACATCAGACAGAGCTGTAAAGCAGATTTGTGCCTGATGAAGAACAACACTGGCCTCACATACCTCTGCTCAGTGCTGAGCAAAGCCGCTGAGGAGTGTAACGCACGCAACATCTGTGTGGAATGGAGACACCTGACCAACGGAGTTTGTGGTAATGTGCAGTGAAAAGCCTACAGACTTTGTCTCACAGTCGAGGTTTTGAGACGGCTTGAAAAGTTTCTCAGATGCTTGGAGTGATTCCTGGTGCTTCAGATTGACCAGGATCCACCCAGCTTGGTCAGACACAATGAATTTATAACATTCCCCTACTTCTCGCTTTCAGATTTCTCTTGTGACCAAGGGATGGTTTTTCAAGAATGTCGTGACCATGCTGATGACTACTGTGAAGCAGGGTGAGTGTGTTCCTTTTTGAAGGAAAGTAGTACAGTCGGGAGGGTCTTCTCACTGTCAGTGTCCTTCTCAGGCAACGTGTATCAGGAAGTCCCTTTGGCCTTGACCAAGCTGGGTGCTTCTGCCCTGAAGACATGATGTTGGAAGATAAAAACTCTACGACGTGTGTCAACACGTGTCCACATCAGTGTAAGCTGTGTGTCTGCCCGCCTCATCATTGCGATGTATTTCCATTTCAGATGTGTTTCATTTGTTTGCAAATCACTCTTCACTGTAAATGGGTTTAATATTTCAAAGTCTTCTTGAGGATGATGTCAAAGTATCTGAGAAATAACCTATTAACCAGGCAACAAATGTTATGCACTCTAAATAGGGCCCATGGGCTCTGTGTCACTCTCATACCTTATCTATTTAACTTATCTTGACTTGTTCATTCTATCCACAGGTTGCAACGGTCCGCTTGGAGAACCTAAGCAGGTGTGATTTGCTCTTTCTGATTTATACTGTACAAGCTAAGATGAATTTCATTGAAGAGCCAACTGAGACAATAATGCCTGTTTCCATGCACTTCAGGAGTGTAATAATGAGGTTAATAGGCTCATTGATTAGCCAAATCAGTAGTTCTATATTTTGATACAGAACAGTCAAAATTTACATTGCTCTGATTTGCAGTCATATTTCTGGAGTGAAACGAAAATCAAGAAGATTCTGATCCTTATTGCCGGACAGAGTCTGTATGGCAAATAATAGTGGCGGTAATCGCAGTGACCACCCAAATCGATATCACGATATGGTTTCCGATTCTATATCGCAATTCTATTTTCTAGATTCTATTTTGCTGAAGAGAATTTCAGGTCAGTACACACATTCATTGTGTGCCTTTCGGTTACAGCATTTTCATTTCGGAACATGCAATGAAATGAATTAATTTCCTGACACGGCTGAAACCTAAATTCAAAAGTAGATGTTCAACATGGAAAACATTATGCTAATTGTAGCTTTGACTTGGTTACAGCTAGTGCTAGAGAGCTCATCGACACATCCAACATCCGACACATCCAACGTGCAAACTCATTTTAGACTACATCATCCGAGTGTGTGCTTTTGCCGGGAAAATCAGACTGGCCTTAAAAAAGTAACAAATACTAAGTTCATACTAAATGAGTTTAGCCCCAATATTCCACACGGCAAAAGTTTTTGACGATCGCCAGCAAAAGCCCCAGATTGGAGGCAAACCGGTGTCCGTTGGCGCTGATAAGCCAGCACCCGATTGCTATTAAATCCACACAGAGTGACCGATGTGTTGCAGACGCCTGTCAGATATCTGGCAGGTTAAATATCTAGACCTGTTGGCATCTCCAAATCCTGTAGTGTGAAAAGTGTTGAATACTAATGAGCTACTGCCACCTTGAATGGGACAAGTGGTTTCAGAAAATGGATGGATGGAATATTTTATAATAATGACTGTCGAATGAAAATAACATTATCATGAATGCAATGTAAAGATTATACATGGATAACTATTATTATGAAATATAATACCGTTTATTAAATTATTTTAAAATAACCCAGGTAGCATTCCCACATGGCAACGAAATCTGCACCCAAGAATCATATGGGCCCCATATGGGCCAGCCCAGAAACCCCAAATGGGTTCGGTATGGGTTATTGCTGGGCCCCACATGGGCCACATTACCTGGGCACAATGTGGGCCAGCCCATATGGGCAAATGATGTGGGATTTATCTGGGCCCCAAATGGGCCACATTACCTGGGCACAATGTGGGCCAGCCCATATGGGCAAGGATGTGGGATTTGTCTGGGATATGCAAAATCAACAGTTTGCAAGTCTGATTGCATGTTTTTGATCACACAGTTAAAATATATGTTCTTTGCATACTCAAAGAACATATTACATTTTACAAGAGAAAGTAATACAGAAAATGTAGTTAGTGTTTTCACAATCCTGCTAATTTAAACTGTGGCATCCATAGTACAGTAGCTGGTATTTGGAATGATCGCTACGGGATTATATTAAGATTATTTACACATGGTAACTAAATTAAATTGAGCAAACAGTGATGAGTTTTACAGGTAAACTGTAAAATAACTTAAACTGATAAGTTAAACTGTGGCTGAACCAAAAGTAAAGAAGCAGATAGGCCTAAAATCAGTTTTATGTTTAAGGAAAATCACACACTGACATCACAATTAAATAAAAAATCAGTTTACATTTATTTTACAAATTAAAAAATCCTCTTAGTCCACCAATTCCTCTCTCCCCTGTTTGAAAGGGCCACTCTCCTGCTCTGCCTCTTGTCTGCGTCTCTTCTTCCGCCTTTTAAATCACGTGCATTGTAGAGGAATGAGGTGACGCTTCCTTTCACCTCATCTTTTGTAGCCTCTTTCGTTTTTTAATTTTGCCACACAGCACCTGGAAAAAAGGTGAATAAAATTTGTGCATTCCATTTGGCAGTAAGTGATATTTTATCTGTTTATCTAAAAACAATCAAATTACTATATCAGTCAATCCCAGAGTACAAGTTTAAAATTACCAACCTAACAATTACCAACCTAAAAATACAATAATATATGCATTTCTATTGTACTGGGAGCAGCAGAGCATAAAAAAAATTAAAACTGGAAAAAAAAACTAATGTTAAATATATTACCACTTCTCAATTTATTAAAAACTTTTCCAGACTGCCAATTAATTTACCGCGATGTACGTAAATTTGAACCCTGCTTCCTCTTCCTCAGTCCCCCCCCCCGTAATTTACGCCCATGCTTCTACGCATCACTATGGTGTTTCTTTGCAAACAGGTTTTGGCCTTTAACCCATATGGGTTTGCCCAGATCCCAGATGCATGCAGAGATGCATGTTAATGCCAGGTGTGAATGAACATATTTAGCACTGCCCACTAGTGATCAGATCATGCAGGACACCTGTTAGTACCAGGTGTGAACAGGGCCTAAGAAACTGTTCCTAGCATTCAAGTGTGTGTGTGTGTGTGCATGTGGTCCAGATATACCTTACCTTGTGGGGACCAAATGTCCCCACAACGTGATATACACCAGTTTTTTTTTTTTTTTACCTTATGGGGACCAGTTTCCTCTATATTATAAAAATATGTGATTGCAATGAAAAAACTAAAAATGCAAAAGCTCTTGTATTTTGTTTGGTTACTTATGATTATGGTTAGGGTTGGGTAGGGGTTAAGGTTGTCATAGTTAGCGTTAGCATGTTTCCCATAGAAATGAATGTGTGTGTGTGTGTGATAGTTATTTGCCACATGCTTATAAACGTTGAGCATATGTGCTGTCATTTCAGTCATCTAGTGTGAACAGTACAGCGATCTGATGACTTGGAAACCTGTGTAAAAATCCAACAAATAATGAAAGTGCAATGCACAGGGTGAGGTGAAACCCAAGGGAGGAGTTCAAAACAGGTGTAAATAGTTCAATTTGTTTAGAAACTGTTCTTAATGTTCAGGAAAAAAGGTATAGAGATATTCAATGTAAGTTTACATTTCACATGATTGCGGATTTAAGTTGAGTTGGTGCAGGAGACGTCCTTGCACACGTATACTCGTGCATGTCAGTCCTTTAGCAAAATCAGGCTGTGTGCAACTGGGAAAATATATTAGCAGCACCACATGTGAACAACATGATTTCAGTGAATCAATTTTCCCCCACCCCTAGCAAACAGCATGATAAAAAGCTTTGAAGAAACAACACTGGGTGTCTGGTACAGTGTGTATTTCTCTGCTATTTTTTACTTTGTTCTCTGTGTTGCCAAGGGCAACTCAGCTTTCACTGTCTGAGTTGCCTCTCGATCAATCTCTAGGAATGTCACTTTTACCATCCATCACCTTGACCAATTTTTTTTCAAGTACTACCATTGGCGTGATTTCACAGAGTTCCTCTGGCCAGGAAGATTACATGTAGAAAGTATTCTCAGTCATTGCGCTTCTCAAACGCTTCAAAATAAGTGTGATTTATTTGATTTTTTTTACTCGTTGTGCTGTCTGTGGTTGTGTTATGCATAAGCTAAGAAATTTATGTTTCATTGTAAGACATTAAAGTTTTCTTAAATTCTTGAACTGATGAATGGTCTCCCCCCAGCCTGGTGACACCTGGGTGTCGGAGTGCCACAGCTGTACCTGTAGTAACACCATGACTGTGAAGTGTGAGCCCCTGCCCCCTCCTCCCCCTGTCACCTGCACAGACGCCCAGATGGCCATCACCAGTAGCCAGGGATGCTGGAATACAACCATATGTGGTAATGCATCCTAAGAGTAGTGCCCCTTTCATAATATGGCGTGTTGGAGCCATACCACATGATATTTCTATTTATTTGAAATATTATTGCACAAATTCTTGTCAAATTATGTATAAGATTTACCTGTCAAGTTACCCGAACCCATGCAAATACCTACATGTAGTGATGCATTCCAGTCCCTGCACCTACGATTCTGCCTGTAGGGATGTAGGGTCATGGGTAAACGGAAGCAAAGCAGGAAGTAAACCTTGTGGCGTGTCAGCGGAGCACGTGGTTTTCATCAGCTTCAGATTAGCTGCCATTCCTCAATGTGCGGTAATTTTGATGGAATTAGAAATCGGACGTGTTTGTTTTCTTTGATGTAATGCATGGTGATCGTCCAATAAACAAAACATCTAATGAAAGACCAACTAAAGCCAGCTGACACACAGCTGATTCCTCCAGTATGAAAGACGCCAAGAATGACAGAATGCAGTGTATGGCTTGGAGTGTAATATTTCTTGTTTTATTCCACAGTTCACAGGTGTCAGCAAAATGGAAAAGTGTATCAGGTATTTAGAAAGTGATTTATGAAAGTAGCCGGAGACTGAATTGGAAAGAGTAAACATGTCAGTAACTGTGATAGATATGGGTTTAGTAGAGATTATAACCAGAAATATTGGCTTTTTACACGGCATTCCTGCATAGGTATGTGATCAAGTCTGTCTCACTGGTGCAGGTCGGTCAGAGTTGGAACGACCCCAATGATCCATGTGTTACTTACGTCTGTGAGAAGGAAGGATTGAAGACCGTAATGATGGTTTGTCAAGGAGCAACCTGTGCAGAGGTAACTGTCCACTGCATTTGCTCATAACATGCCCTGTCCCCTGTAGCAGGTCATACGACACTTATCATACTGTCACCGTGAGAAGTGTCCACCTTGTTGTTCTCTTCTGCACTTGTAATTCTTTCTGTTGTGTTTGTTTTCAGGAGTTCAGGATTTGGGACGCACAGCACTGCTGCTACAATTGTAAGAGGAATCTTTAAAATATGATGGCCATTTTGTTTTTCTGAATAAGACAGGAAACAAGTTAACCAGTGATACATTTGACGGTGGAAAATACACCAACTTTTCAGTTATTTCAGGGTTGACTGATGGCTTTTTATTGTATAGTTTGAGTCAGCCAAGGCTAAATATACATCAGGAAATTCATAAAGCTCATGTCATAAAACTCATGTAATTTTTGGATTTTTTTAACATATTTTTTACATAACTGCAAGATTCCATAGTTGCGTTCTTGTGCCCTCATAACTCATAATTATGAAACACACCATGGTGTGTCCCCACTAAAGTCTTGCAGGAAACACAGCTTCACAGCCTGATGATGGAATGTCAATGAATATATCACGTGGAGTGGCGGCCTCTAGTGGTGATATAGTTGAGTTTCAGAATAAAATATGTTGATCATGTAGTTTGTTTATTGCAGGCAGCACCAATTGCTCTGTGACGACGTCACCCACTGTACTATCATATGGAGGCTGCACTGGAACAGTACAGATCCCCACGTGCCAGGGCCAGTGTCAGTCATCTTCAATGTAAGTCTGAGTCCAATTTGCTGTGTCTTCACAGTATTAACTGTAAATTGTACATGGTAAAAAATCCAGTCCAGTCTACTAATCTGATCAGAGATATACAGAAAGGTGGGTAGCCTGATAATCCTGTAATTGTATCAGTGATATAAAGATGCTTTTAAATGTTTTGCTTTCTCTGTTATCTGTTTTACTTGATAGTTTTACTGATTGTACTATACAGGGAAACAAGACCCTCGATTCGTTATATGGCAGCGTCGGAAATTAAAGGACACACACACACATATATAATTTATTTATTTGCCATTTTAGACCAGTATCCAAATCCTACATTAAAGTCATCATTTACAAACACAAGCTGATCTCTGCTAGGGCTGTGGCTTCTGATCATCTGCTTACCCACGGCTTTGCCAACCCACCCATCAACAACTTTTAGTCACCTTTCCTGCACTGTTATATGCCAGCACTAAGGAGACATATAAGTCCATCACTCTGCCACCCCTGGGCAGTCCTGAGCACAGTATAGTAGCCTACATCTCACCCACACCTACAAACCAATCACATCTCACAATTTGAGTAATACTGCCCACCTGCTCCAGGGGGCGCTCTCTTGTAGCACCTTTACCCGCTGGCTCTTTTCAACATGCTGTGCTAAGAAACACTACTGAGGGATCCTTCCCTCCCTGCTGCCATCACTACAGCGCCTCCTCCTGGCGTGCCAACCCCATAACTCATGCCAGAACAGCATCTCGTCTTTTGCATACTGTAGTAAACGTGCGATGCTTTTGGTTTTTAATTGGATGTAAACCACCTGTTATATGTATTTACAGCACTGTATATTACTTTGTACTTCCAAAATTAGTTTGTACTGTGTATTATTGTCTTTGATGAGCATTTTATGTACCTGCCTGATGTATGCAGGAGAATTTTGCTCGTGGAAGTTTTACACAAATTAATTTGAAAAATGCTTGGTTCAGAGAGAGAACCAAGTAACTAGAAGAGGTGGGACCAAGACACCTGATTGGTTGGTCCCACCTGCTCTATTTGCTTGGATTCCTCAATCTGATTGGTTATCTCTCAGAACCAACCATTTTTCGTTCTGCCCTTAGAACATTTTTTTTGTAAGTAAAACTCCTATGAGTGAGAATTTCCCCCCGGAACAAATGAAGTTTGTCTTATCTGATCTTATCTGATCCTGTTTCAGGTGGTCATATTCAAACGGTGTTTTCCAAATGGGTGGGACCTGCAGTTGCTGCCAGGAAAAGAGCTCTGAACAGCGGCAAGTACAGCTGACCTGCAGTGACAAAGCAACCAAGACCTACACATACAGGCACATCACGGCCTGCGAGTGCAGCGTCTGCAAGGGGGCGAACGGCCCAGCGCTCTTTCAGACACCTTCGGTCACCATGGAAATCTGAATGTCCTTCTTAACCTCCTCAAATGTCACTTTCATAAACAAGACATTATCCCCAGAATAATCGTAATTTAGAAATGGTTTCCAGCTACAGTATATCTAATTCAGGAAATTAGTTTTGCATAATTAAGTCATAAAATAAATCATTAACATATATTGGTGTATCGGTGGTGGAACCGTAATATCATGCTGTGTCTTTTGGAAATTTTAAATAAACCATCTTTGCATCTGTTTTCTGTTTCTGTGTTTGTCGTTATTGATCTTTACCTGTACGTGGAGAACCAAACTCAGGCTGCGGCCTCCTGCCTACGACGGAATCACAGCCGTGATATATTGGAGTAGAACCGCACCACTTCCAGTGTGTCATTGCATTTATACAATTCATTGCTTTTTACAGTTCATCAAATAGCATGTGTAAGGTAATAGTAATAAGATACAGCGTATTTTGGTTTTTAAATGTAAAAATTTACAGGCCTCCGCAAACAAAAACAGTTCCCGTAATGTCAGCGAAACACGGGATATCGCATCCAAACATCCCGCATAAACGGAAAAATCTGCCCATTACCGATATAATTTAGTCTAATATCGATGGTGCCAGCAGTGAAACAACTAGACAGCTTTTTAGCGGAATATCTTTGCATTGTAAAGTAAAACCATGCCGCAGTTCCAATAAAATACTGTGGCGCTCGAGTGGCGAAGAGATCTACTCTGAGGTAGCGTTGTGACGTTCGCGAACGAACCGATTCTTTTGAACGGCTCATAAACATGAACGA